ATTTCTTGCTAACCTTACAGTTCATTAATAATGTCTATCTTGTGGACAAAAAAAAAAAAAAAAACCATTGAGGAAGCACATTTCAATCAAAGTGGCCAGATATGAATGTAAATAGTAATGGATTCTGTACTGCTGACCACCATTATTTGCACCAGCTTGTGTTCCAACCACAGAAATCTATGATAAAACACTAGCAGAGAGTATAGTAGTATATAATATGAAAGATACAGATATGCAACACAAGTGTGCATTTCTGAACTACCACAACCGGTTGTAGGCCATTTTACATCTAAAATGGAGCATGGAAAAATGAAGACTTTGGGACCACAAGAAATCCTTCCAAAGTTACACCCTGCTAGCCAGACTATGGAACAAATCATTCACCAGGGTGAGGTACCAGAGGGCAAGTTTGTGAGGAAGCAGTCTCTTCGACAATTGGCAGCGGTGCAGAAAAAATGCTGTGTAACTATGGAAACTCCAACATACGTCAAGAGGGCATCACATGAAACAGGCTTTATTTAACTCACTTATAAAATACGAGAACTCATCAATCTTCCATTCATACATGTACACATTTCAAGGCAATGGTTCCAGCACTGTGTCTACTACACGTACGTCCACTGCAAAAGGGGTTAAATGATGCCTTGAAGAGCTAAGCTTGGTTGAAGGCTGCAGCATTGATCCCTTCTCTGCTTCCGTCAGAGCTTCAGTCTAGGCGTAGCAATAAATCTCTCATGAGCTCAAAAGATTCAAGGTCAGAGTTCAGATGCTGCTATTACTGCAGATATGAAAGATGCTCTCATAATGACTATGATTAGCTACTGCAGACTCCAGCCACATTTACATGTCTTACAGAGTAATTGACTTTTCACCCATGTTTGTCAACCTTTGAAGGCGAAGGCACCTACACAATGTTTTCATAACAGTCTTGTCAGATCTCAGACTCCTTATTTCCTGCCTTACTGGATTCTGCCCTCACACCTTCCTAGCAGACTCTGAGCAGTAACATTATCCTGAGAGCGGAGTAAGAATGCACTGAGATTGTCTTGATGAAGCTTTGCCAATGCTGACAAGTATGGGAAAATTTCAGAGGATCTCATTCTTATCCCCAAAGCACAAACCCATTCCTGATCTCTAACAGAGAGAGTGAAGTGGGCTGGGATCAACTTTAATGAGGATCTCCCATGTGTGCAAATATGTGTGGTCCTGGTCCTGGGAAGTGACTGGATATTTCTTTTTCTATGTAAGCTGAAGTATGTTTCCAGCTTGAATCCAGAAATGGATATTTTTGCTATCAAATCCCAGGGGAAACAGCCCCTGACCAACACATAACAGCTAACTTCTGTGATGTTCGCAAGAATGAGAAGGCAAACCAAGCATTCTTGGATGAAAGCAAAACAGGACTGCCTGAAAATAAGTTACTAGGCTTCAGAATGAGGTGAAATGCATCTAAAAGGATTGTCATGTACAATAAAGGTAAAGGTTCCCATCGCACATACGTGCTACTCGCTCCCGACTCTAGGGGCCGGTGCTCATCTCCGTTTCAAAGCCGAAGAGCCAGTGCTGTCCGAAGACGTCTCCGTGGTCATGTGGCCAGCATGACTAAATGCCAAAGGCGCATGGAAGGCTGTTACCTTCCCACCAAAGCTGGTCCCTATTTTTCTACTTGCATTTTTTACGGGCTTTCGAACTGCTAGGTTGGCAGAAGTCATGTACAATATAGATGTATAAAGGAAAGAAAACCAGGAAGAGACCATTTAAAGGTGGCTTCTTTGGGGGTCAATTCATTCTCCTTAATTGGTTTTGAAAGTATAAAATAAAAATCTAGATGCTAGACTAAAACATTTATTTATGATGTCAACATATAGAAAGTATTTAAAAATACTGAAAGCTAACTTTAGAGCCAAATAGACCAATGATAAGATATTAACTACTAAATGTTATTACTAAAACTAGACTCAGATAAAGTTTACTCTATGACAGTTTATTCAGGGAGTGTTTGAGCCCAAAATTTCTGCTGCTACACGAGACATTTGTTAAGTGAGTTTTGCCCCATTTTACGACCTTCCTTGCTATAGTTGTTAAATGAATCATTGCGGATATTACGCTAGTAACAAGATTGTTAAGAGAATCTGGCTCCCCCATTGACTTTGCTTGTCAGAAGGTTGCAAAAGGTGACCATATGATTCTGGGACACTGCAACTGTCATAAATATGAGTCAGATGGCAAGCGTCTAAATTTTGATCATGTGAATGCTGCAATGGTCGCAAGTGTGAAAAACAATTGTAAGTTACTTTTTTCAGTGTATGAACGGTCACTAAATGAACTGTTGTTAAGTCGAGGACTACCTGTACTTGTCAAAAGAAGCAGTTGCCACTAGAAGCAATTTTAATGCATTCTCCACTTTTGCTAAAATACTCAGAGAGAATACAGTTGAGAGTTTATTAAATCTTTTGCCTTCAGTTTAACATCCAGTATTCATAAGATCAGGCTAACACTGCTGCTCCAAGAAAAATAATAAGCTCTTTTCTTGACTGATGCAGGAAAGACATAAAAATTATAGTACAAGACCAAAACCATTAGCAGAATGTTTATGTTCAAATTAGCAACATTGGATGAATGGCCAACTTCATTTTAGCAATGAATGTTTGCATTGTCATTTGCTTTTTTTTGTATTAAAAAAAGAAAAATATGCTATTCTATTCTACTGTGTTTCAGTGCTGGAAAAACTGTAACAGAGGAAGGAACTGTTCCAGCAGCTAGAAAACCTACAAAATTCTTACCATAACTTTGGCACAGTACATTTTTTAGCATCACAACAGCCCCATTATGCTGCATGATTTGCTTTTTTCTTCATAAATTTACCATCTACTCTACCCCTTTCACTCCATATGTTAGTTTTATCTTTCTTTATTAAGTTAGAGGATGGGGAGAAGGATCAGACCTTGCTTAGTAACTGCTATGCTAAATGGACAACCATTGATTGTTATATCTATTTCCGCTTTAAAGGGAACATACTTTTTCTTTAAAGCACATTGATTTCTTGGCCTCTGAGAATCGCAGTGAAGTGAGATAATCAAAAATGGACAAGGGCAAAATTTCAGCCTTCAGAACACTTCAGTGGAAGAATTACTTTTATTTTTAAAACTGTTATGTTAATGCCAGAATGTTAATGCACCAATTTTGTTTGCTGTTCCCTGCACTGTGCTTGTCTGCGTTTACTCTAAAGTTGTGCTGTATTGCCATCCTTGGAATAAAGAAAGAAATCAATGTAAATTTCAATCTGGATGATCGCAAAGCATTTTTGGCTTATTTATAGTCATTCAAAACATTTAACCAAGCCACAGAAATATGACTGAGGCCACAGTCTAAAGCGAAATTCAAGAAGCAAGCCAATCAAAGAGCAAAGCATTATGCACACTGGAAGCAGTAGCATTATTCAGAATGCACATGCATGTTTCCCCATCTAAAGCAGAGCCTACCAAATAATGTCTTGGATAATTCCTGAAGTCTTCAAAATCTGGAATTTGTCTCTACTAATTTTCTACATGCAATTTAGGATGTGGGAGCAGATCCTGGAATTGGATGTGTCTTCTATACTTGAATACCTCGCTCCAAGAACTGCTCTCCAAATCAAACCCAATTTAAAAAGCCTTCTACTGAAAAAAATTCATTTCATTCACATAGTCTCCTCCAGCCTTACAGTTCTTAGGAACCTTACAGCTCTGTGTACTTCAATTCCCAGAATTCCCCAATAAGCATAGCGCATGAAATGTGGAAGATAAAACTCCTGAATCTGATGTCCAGATTTGGAAAGATGCACTAGACTGTTCACCCTTTTTTATGATCTGCCTACAAAATACTGCTTTTCAAAAATATTTATAATATTCATAATCTATTTTTCTATTGTGGAGTCCCAAGCAATAGATACAAAGTGGTAACTGATCTGCTACCCAAACCTAGTTGTTTAACGTCAAGAAGTCCCTGTGCCATTCTAGATCTTTCAAACTATAAAAATGTTATTATAACACAGGGGGAAATGTGCAAAGCAAGATTTATTCTTTGGTTTCCAAAATACTCTACTGGTTTTTATTTCTGTACAGACTATAGGTAAGCAAACATACATCATTAAATCCACACCGGGGGGGGGGAGAGACAATAGGTGCACTTACAACTCCAAATTTAGACTGATTTAATTCATTTAGAACTGTAAATTTATTTCTGACAAGGACCGAACATTCTCAGATTTTATTTCAGTATTTATTTAAAAAGACTTATATGGTTGGCCACCTTACACAGTATAATTCCTGGTGCAGTGGTGGGGTTCAAAATTTTTTACTACTGGTTCTGTGGGTGTGGCATGGCGGGCATGACATGGCATGGCGGGCGTGGCTTGGTAGGGGTGGTGGGGGAAGGATACTGTAAAATCTGCATTCCCTCCCCACTCCAGAGGAAGGTTGCTGCAAAATTCCCATTTCCTCCTGATCAGCTGGGACTCGGGAGGCAAAGAATAGATGGAGGTAGGGCCAGTCAGAGGTGGTATTTACCGGTTCTCCGAACTACTCAAAATTTCCGCTACCAGTTCTCCAGAACTGGTCAGAGCCTGCTGAATACCACCTCTGTCCTGGTGGCTCAAAACCATAAGAATCTCTCCCCAAAATCAGAATCTGGCATTTCAATCACAGTCTCCAGTACAATTCCCACGTTCAACCTTACCTTAGCTCAATGCTTAAGGAAAGAGCCAGCTTTTTACAGTTTTTAATTATCTAAAGGAGAGAATATATGTAACTTGGGCTTGAATGTGGAGCGTTGGGTGCACTCTGAGCTTGTTGTCTGCTTGCAGACATTTTGTTAACCAATTAAGTAACATCATCAGTGCAAGTGTGGGGTTTGCTGCCTGATTATATATAGTAGCTTGCCCTGTCAGTGTTGGTGGAAGTATGGTTTTCTCCTTGGTAGTTCCTTGATTAGGGTTTTTTTTCTGCTTGACTGTTTTGCAGGTGTAGCTGGGTGTTGGCTGCTGAAGGAGATGTGTTCTGGTCTTTTTCCAATACCATGTGGTCGTAATAGTCTGTTGATTGTTTCTGAAATGTTTGTTGATGCATTGTAGTCTGGCACACAAACCAACTAAAGCCTTCTAAAACATCTTAAGTAAACCAAATGAACCAGTCACCCAAGAAGAAAAAACAAGAGTCATCTTCAACATACAGCGCAAGGACCATAATAGTCACTATGTAGGACTGACCGGCAGAAAATTAGTAGAACTCATCTATAAGTCTGTTGGTGGCTAATTTGTCTGAATGCAAAGCTTCCAGGAATTCCCCAGTGTGAACACCTACCAGCAGTCAGAAGACACAATGAAATCACATGGACAGACTTAACAACCATTTCATCTGAGAAACTGTGAGCACCCTAGTCCCAAGACAACTCCAAAAACACTAGGGAATTTCTGGAAGCTTTGCATTCAGATAAATTAGCCACTAACAGACTGACAGAAATAAACCATATTACATACCATTCAAAAAAGACAATACAAGGCTAAAAAGGAAACAAAAAGTTTCTCTTTAGGAAACAAAACTCAGACTAGACTAAACCAAACTAAGTCTCTTTTGGTGAAGAAACTACAATTGTCTTCCCCACACCAAATCAACAGATAACTCATATTATCTCACAGACCAATGGAAGAATGGCCGGCCTCTACCACAAGCTTCAGGGGTTCTTTCAGTTATTCGTTTTGTGAGTCAGTGTGGCCACACAATGAACTTTAAGATGATTACTCAGTTTATCTGAGCTTCCACTGCATATGCCACAAGCTGAGTAACAGCTGGATTTCCTTGCATCGTTCTCTTATAAACAGCATATAGTAACAATAAAACCGGTTTTCTTAGTCTCCTATAACTACTTTCATGTTTTAAAATGCTTTCCGTATTTACTTCTCTATTCAAAAACTTCCCTAATTGTTACAGCACTCTGCTCTTTGTGGTAAATCTGCTGTGCAAGATATTTTGAAGCCCACCTTTAAATAAATCTAACCAAGGTGTTTTGCAAGCCATATGTAAGCAAAACTGTACAACAAATATTAACAGAATATAAAATAAAATTTCAGCTTCCCTCAATTCTCAGAAAAGAGAACTTTTTTTAAAAAAGTGTCCTGGATGAAAGTAATTTTGACGTAGAATGTGAAAAAAGAAGCAAAACAAACTTTTCCAGGATTGAATTTCACAATTATGATACGACTTCAAAGAAAGCCTATGCTGGCATACTTTAAGCAAAGACAACATATAAAGCAGGAGCACCAGCAAATTTATATGGAAGTAAAGAGTCCTGTAGCCAATACAGTTAAATCTATGAATGTCAAATAAATTGGGTTAAAAGCCAACTGGGAACCACAGAATTTCCTGCAAATGGTTTTGGGCACTGTATGTAGTCTTTGACAGTCAATATCTTAGAAACAGTCACTTATATTACAGTTAACTGGATAAAACAAAAGTGCACATCACCATGGAGAAATCATTCCTGTTCAGAACTGGTAAAACTATCCTGAGCTGGAAAAGCTTATGTCTAGCTTCTGCCAAACCACCCAAAATTTGAAAATACAGTCTCAGAATTAAGGATATCCAGAAGTTTTCTCAGCCTAGGACATTTAGCCTTTTGCAGTAAACCCATGATGAATGACCTCTCTTCCCACCAAAGAACAGAAAAATACAAAACACATCTGCACTTTTTAGGGCTGTTATTGTTTTAATAATGTTTTAAGCTGGCCTTTATTTTTCATTTTGGATTTGTTACGCTTTTGTGTGTGTGTGTGTGTGTGTGTGTAAGCACAAGCACGAAGCCAACTCCGGAACTTAAGATTTTAAAATTTTAAAAGAATTAAAATTTTATTTTACTAAGCTTTCATCAGCCATCTGCTGACATCGTCAGAGTATTAAACTACCATTACAGAGATCTCTGCCTTTACATGCCATTAATCAATTTAGCCCTTGCGTGTATAATAGGCCCTTCTAGCCGTCTCCCACTTGTAATCAGCTGTGTTGTTTTGTTTCGTCAGATGGCTGACAAGAGCTTAGTAAAATAAAATTTTAATTTTTTTAAAATGTTAAAATCTTAAGTTCCAGAGTTCGCAGTATGTCTGCTTCTTTTTTTACTAATATACCTGGACTCGTATTTTTAGAATAGTTTGTAATATATATGTATGTGTATGTAATAAGGCAAACGAATTAGTCACTCTCCCTTACCCAATAGTAAATCATATAATTCAATAGCAATTGCCTCAAGAAGTACCATAAAAACCCAAGAAATAAGAGGGAGACTTGCATAAAAATGTTTTTTAAGGTACAAAGTATAAGCTGAAATGCATTGAGCCCCACCATCAAACTTCATGAGATTTTTTGGGGGGGAGGAGATACATACAGGATAGAAAAATGCTTCTTCTCCTACCATGTACCAAACTTCCTCACTTTTAGCAGCCACAAAAACATCGCACCTTTGCTTTCCTTGTACTAGAGCTTACGCCACGTGTTTTCATGCCTTATGTATAAAACACAAGCAGCAGAGGAACTCAATTGTAACTGCTGCTGCTATTGCAAGCCCAAATCACTGCAATAGGAGTCACAAGGCTACTCAAGGTCCATTGAAAACTGAACAGTTCATTCATAAGATCTGCAAACTGTTGGCTTGAGGTCAGAGAGATGACTAGTTTTTCCACGAGCAAAACATCTGCTGTCCTGGAAGTAGCACTTCCTTTAAGTGACTGACTCATGGCATTGCCAGGAACTACAAAGACTGACACAGAGGAAGGAGTCTCATTTCATTTCCTCATTTAGTGCAGGCAAAAGGCATATAGGAGGCCACAGTGGAAACTTCTTACACTGCCACACAGAAAGTTCTGCAATAGATTTAAATGTTCAACCCAGCCGCTGCTCCTAGTTTTGTAGAAAATTTGCATCCCCACAATGGACATCAGGCAATTGCCAAGCCTAGGCATCATTAGAAACCCTGAATTTAATTAATTAATTTGAATGCGGAAATAAATGGCCATTGGGAGACAAAGAGAGCCTCTATTTACTTCCTTGATGCAAAACTGCAATACTGAACTTCAATGAGAAAAAAAAACCCTATGCAGGAACCTTTGTAAAAAGGACACATTTCTCATTGTTTTAATGAAATCTCAACTTTCTGAGAAACACCCCTCACCACAAAATTGCAGTAGAAGCATCAGAACCTTTGTTGATGTTCCTAGCACTTCCTCAAGGTACAGAATTATTATTTTAATTTCCAGATGTGTTTCTCTTCATATACTAACATACATGACCTTCATCAAGTACAGGCAATGTGGCATCCTCCAAGCATCTATCAGATTTATATCCTGCTTCTTCTAACAGATTGTCGAGGTATATTTTGTGGGTAGCTCACTATTTTCCTTGTCTTCCTAGTCTTTTAACTATTACACTACACTGCTGTTCCCACATGCCTCAGCCACCTCAGCTGGTGGTCAAAGATGGCAATAATTGTGCTTCAAAACATCCAGAGGCTACCCCATTGCCAACCTTAGACATGGCATTGTGCATGTAAGCAGATATTAGAAATACATAAGCATTTTAGCACTTGAGCTACTTGTAAGATGTCTTTAACTCCCTTTTTTACAACCATCTATTCCAGAAGTGTCAAACTCAAGGTGGTTATGGGAGTGATGTGGCGTTCCCATGTAACACCTCTCCTGCGCGAGCTGCACTGGCTCCCGGTGGTCTTCCGGGTGCGCTTCAAGGTTTTGGTTATCACCTTTAGAGAGCTCCATGGCTTAGGATCTAGTTATTTACGGGACCGCCTGCTACCACCAATAGCCTCCCACCGGCTGGTACGCTCTCAGAGAGGGGCTCCTCCGGGTGCCATCGGCCAAACAATGTCAACTGGCAGCCCCCAGGGGGAGAGCCTTCTCTGTGGGGGCACCTACTATCTGGAATGAGCTCTCCCCAGAGTTACGGAGGATCCCGGATCTGCGCACCTTCCGTCACGCTCTTAAGACTTTTTTATTCCATCAAGCCGGCCTTGCCTAAATCTTTCCCCTTTAAAATGTAAATTTTAATTTGTTTTTAAAATTATTTGGTGTTTTAACTTTGTCTCGGCCAAATTGTTTAATTTGGTTTTATTCTGTTTTTAAATTTTGTATTTATGTGTTTTATTCTGTGGCTGCCCTGAGTCCTTCAGGAGTAGGGCGGTATATAAATCCAATAAATGAAAAATGAAATAAATGAAAGGCCTGCCAGGTGCTTAAATCTGGCCCGTGAGGCCGGCCTGGAAATAGCAAAGGACCCACAGTGCCTCTGCTAGCAAAAACAGGGCACGGGGAGGGGGGGGGGTCACGGGTGTCCTCTGCACAACCTGTTTTCGACCTGGATGGCCTCCTGCACCACTCTGCCGACCAAAACGGGGCGTGGGAGGGCTGGCAGAGTGGTGCCATTTTGGCTAGCAGAGTGGTACAGGCTGCCATCCTGCCCAAAAATGGGGCACAGGAGGGGTCGCTGCAGGAGGCATCCATCCCCTCCTCCCTCCCATGGAGAACTACAATGATGATCCGGCCCTCGAAGAAATCCAGTTTGACACCCCTGCTCTATTCCCTTATATGTACATAACTCTAGCTGAATGAAAGAGCTAAATTTAAACAACCACTTCTGCTGCACAGGGGACATCATGATCCTTTCGTTTGATTAATTATGTGCCATCAAATCAGTGTCAATTCTTAACAACGATGCAGATAGACTTTGAGGATCAGTTGCCAATCTCATTGGCCATGTCTTCCAATGAGGCACCCATTGATGTTATAACTGTTGTGGTCCGTCAGCAGCCTGCGGAGCTGACAGCAGAGTCGGACAGCGATGAGGCTGAGAAAGAACATGGGCCAGGGGAAGGAGGCTGGGGAAGGCCTGGATGAGAGCTCTGCATCTGAGACAGAGATGGGGCCAGGGCCATCGGGGAGTGATGTGCGGACTTCGGAGCCTCCAGAGGCTGACAGAAGAGAGGCAGAGGAACAGGAGGAGCCTGTTCCTAGTGCACGTATGAGAAGAACTGCCAGAAGGCAGGAGCAGCTAAAGCAGAGAGGACAACTCGGGAGTAGGGCCAAGAGATGATTGGCCCTTCTCATAAGGCTTAAAAGACCAGCAACAGCTCTTGGCCTCTTTGCCGGAAAACAACATGAGCTTTTTGTTTTGCTGTATTGCTGTATTTATTTCTTGTCAGCATCTTCTGCTTCTGAACTTTTGCGAAGAAAAGCCTTTGGCAGTTTGCCTAATTATACCAAGGTCGGTGATAAACTGAGGAATGGTGTTTTGAAGAATTTGCTTTAATTTAGTTTGGACTACGCTGAGAATGAGTTAATTCTCAGCTGTTCTAATAAAGTCTGTTTGTTTTCAAACTATTTGCGTTTAATACTAACTACTTGGGCCTGGGTCACAACAGTTTGTTTTCCGGCCCCATCTCTTCCTTCCATTGCTCCACGTAACCATCGTACCACTGCACTTCCCATATCTGAGCCCTAAATCCACTGGTTCCTGAACCGCGGAAAAAGACTCTACACTGTCTGGAGTGGAAGCGGGTCTTCGATGTGGGAATACGCCGGTTTCCGCGAGAGCACATCCGCCCTTTGGTTGCGACCACTGGGGATGTACGTCACACGGAAATTGAACAGGGCAAAGAAGAGGGACTATTGGTATCTTGGTCCGTTCCCTGTGGAGGTGGTTATTAACCCGGTTGCCTACCGCCTGACCTTGCCACACTCGATGCGTGTCCACCCAGTCTTTCATAGATCCCTACTTTTCCCAGAACGATCAGCCTGTCTGCTCCACCAACCTGACCGTCCCCAACCAGCGCCATGAGACGGAGATGAACCACCTGAGTACGAG